GTCTCAGCATGGGGCTCCATCTGTATGGCATGAAATGATCACCACTCGGAGACTTGGGCCGGGTGCCAGCCCCTCCATCCCACCAGGCTCATGCATTCCTGTCTGCGTTGGCTATCGGCCCAGCAGGGAGGCCCAGGCTGGCCCTGCTGATGGCTCTGTCTCTTCCAGATAAGCCCCTGGCCGTCCAGTTCGCGGACTGGGTCCTCAGGGGCACTGCGCAGGTGATGTTTGTCAACAACCCTCTCAGCGGCTTCCTCATCTTCATCGGGCTCCTGATCCAGAGTCCCTGGTGGACAATGACTGGAGGCTTGGGCACCGTGGTCTCAACCCTAACTGCTCTCGCCTTGAGCCAGGACAGGTGGGTGTCTCTCTGCAGGGGGGTTGGTAAGGGCCTTTGCTCAGGTATGGGAGGTCACTACAGGATATAAGGTCTCCCAGTGCCTACAAGAGACGGCACCAGGCCCCGCATGGCTGCGGGTCCTCTCTCAACACCCTTTCTAAAGGGGGTACGGAAGAACCTCTTCTTCTCTAGGGAACGCTGCCCTGTCCTCAGGGAGGCCACGGTCTAGTCGAAGGAAGAGACCAGATTAGAATATTATAAATCATGGATAATGGAGACTTCAGAAAAGGCAAAACCAAACTCACAGCGACCCTACAGCTAAGACAAACGTGTGCAAGTTAATTCTAGTTAACGCATGTTTATGCCAATCACACCAAAAGGTATTTTCTTAAGTGCGATATGTGAATGTTTTACATGCAGGCAAGAGCAATCAAGGTTTGTGTGTGTGTGTGTAAGAGAGAGAGAAAGAGACCCAGAACAGTCCTGCCAGCTATGTGACCACCTACTATTCAAGGAATGAGCTGAGTTGTCCATGTGATTTTGCTAAAAATTAAGTGCATCCCCAGAGCACCAGGCGGGCCTTGAGAAGCACCCCCACTTTCAGACACCAAGCCCCTCTGTCTCACCCCAGGTCCGCCATCGCCTCTGGGCTCCACGGGTACAACGGCATGCTGGTGGGCCTGCTTGTGGCTGTGTTCTCCAAGAAGCTGGACTACTACTGGTGGCTGCTGCTGCCGGTCACCTTCATGGCCATGACCTGGTGAGCGGCCCGTCTCCCTGCCCCCAGCCTCCCCCCACCCCCCATGGCTTTCGGGAAGCAGACTGTCTCTACTTGAACATGACTCCCTGCGGAGAGCAGCTGAGCTCTGAGTTCAGTCACTTCCTGTGCGCACCTCCGCCAGGTAGCCAGCAGGATGGCTTGTTGTCCCCACCTCTCAGACGTAGATGTCATCCTTTGGTGCCAAACTCTGGAGTTATGGCACCAAAGCTTCAATGTGGCTTCCTTGTCGCCTGGTTGTGTTTACCGGGAACGATCTACGAACGCCTTCCAGGCAACTTCATTCTGGTTGTAGGGTTTCTTTCGTTCTCAATTGGTGGGGACAAAAAGCAGACCTGGGGGCTTACCAGTCCATATGGTAGACATGAGTGGGTCCATTGCCCATTGTTAGCCTGTAAACAAATATTTGTTGAGTTCTTTGTGTGCACGGACCCTTCTCAATCCTGGAGACCAACAAGGGTGGTCTCCATCCTACAGGAGATCAGATGCTTCTTGGCCAGATAACAATAACCTCATAAGCCAGTTGATAAGAAGTACAACGTTGAGATGCAAGAGAGACTTGGGGGAAACCAAAAAGGGGCCAATAGAGCGATGTGGTTCCAGAAATGAGTGGCCAGGACAGGCCTCTTTGCAAAGGTGCCTTGGGAGCTGTCCCCTCCATGGTAAGAAGGCGCCCTCTGGGTGAGGACCCGGGTGTAAGACAGGAGCATCAGCACATGCCAAGGTCCCAGGAGGGAACTGGGTGCGCACCAGAAGCAAAGGCAGAGCTGGAGAGGCCCAGGAGGGAAGGAGCAGCGGAGGTGGGGTCAGAGGGCAGCAAGAACTGGTCCCCGGGCAGACCTTGTAAGCCCTTTCATTTTATCACTGTTGTGACAGGACACCGTTAGAGAATTGTAGGCAAGAGAGTAATGGGCCATGGTTTAATTAAGCCACTCCCTCTGCTTGGGTATGGAGAATGAATTTTAACTGGAGCCAGAGTGGGTGTGGGACACGCAGCGATGAATCTGCTAGAAGGACCAACAGAGCTGACTGTCCATGGAGGTAGTGGTAATGGGTTGGATGGGAGAATGTCTAAGAAAGGCAAGGTGATAGGATTTGCAAGGAGACTGTAAAGTATGCTGAGGGAGGGAGGAAAGAAGGGTCCATACACTCCTGGAATGTGATTGAACTGCTGGGTTGATGGAGAAGACAGAGAATGAAAGTCACAAGTTCTGCTTGGACGTCAATGTGAGAGATTCCCAGTGGAGCTATTGAAAGTAGTCATTGGATTGACACATCTTAAACTGGGTAATGTCGAGAGATGGAAGTCAATGGCATGGTATCCAAGTGACGAAAGGGCATCTGAAGACCAGCGAGAGAGAGAAGGCAAGACAGAGCCCTGGGGTCTCCGCACACTGAGATGCCTGTCAGAAGAGAGAGGAGATTTGAGATGGGTTCGCTGGAGAGACAATAAGAAAACTTAGACAGTCCAGAAGGTTCAATGAGATCGTTCAACGCATGTAAGGGCCAAGGAAGTCGACCACTGTGTTTGACAAGGTTGATGTCCCTGGTGACCTGGGTAATGGGCAAAAGCGGTCTCCATGGCACAGCAAGAACATGGGCCGGACTGGAGTGGAATTAGAAAAGAAAGGAGGCAGCCAAGAGCGAGGGCCCTCTTCAGGAAGGCGGCCTCGTTTCTGTGAAGGAGATCAGAGAGGGGCAATAGCTGAAGGGGACGTTGTTTGAAAGAGACTGTGTTTCTAGGTAGACGGTTCAGGGCAAGGTGTATACAGATGAGAGTCCTCCCGAGGTGAGGGGAGAAGCTACAGAGCGTGAGGTACAGTTTACAGATGAGAAGTCCTTGAAGCCAGTGGACGGAGAGGTGGCCTGATCACAGAGCAGGGCCGCTTCTTCCAGCGCATGAAGCACTGGGCAGGCATGTGTGAGTCTGCTGGTCGGGAAAGGAGAGCATTTCTCTTCTCGCTGCGTGTATTTTCTTAATGACATGTGTCCAGGTAGCTAGCTGAGATGAAAAGGACACAGAGTGAAGAGCTGAGGGAAAAAGAGAAAATGCGAAACACTGACGTCCGCGCGTTGGAGAGTCCATTTGCTAGGGACATGGAATAGGAATGTTAGGAACTCTCAGTTATCCATGTGAGATTCAGGATCACAAATTAGAGCTGTGGAAGAGGATTGCCCATACCTCCTAGAGAGTGGGCATGATGACTTGCACCCAGCTTTATCTGTCTCCGAAATCCACACTATAGGGGTTCCCAGAGCATCTCAGACTCTTCGCTGTTCAAGCCTTTGGTTACCTGAGTCCTGTAGAAGATGCCTCTGAGAAAGTGGTGTCACAGGGCTGAGACAATAGCCATTGGACATCTGAAGGGCTGTAAGAAAAGATGGCATGGGTTAGCTTTAGTAGATATATATATATATATACCTGTTAATTTTTAAAGTTTTCTATTCAAAATGAGTTGTGATCACTTTAAAATGTGTTTCTCAATGTTGTAAGCGTCTAACATTGAATATACTAGTTCCCATCCCCAACCAACGGTCCACTAGAAAGACTCAAGGGATCCAGGAACCCCTGGGCCATGGGGCATATGCAGTGGAGGGTACAGTGGCCAGTGAGAATGAGAGAGTGGACGTTAAGGACGCAGTTAACTCTGCTTCTTCCGTCTTTAGCCCAGTTCTTTCTAGTGCCTTGAATTCCATCTTCAGCAAGTGGGACCTTCCGGTCTTCACACTGCCCTTCAACATCGCAGTGACCCTATACCTGGCAGCCACCGGCCACTACAACCTCTTCTTCCCCACGACGCTGCTGCAGCCTGCATCCTCGGTGCCCAACATCACCTGGACTGAGATTGAAATGCCCTTGGTAAGTGATCCAAGGACAGAGGAGTGTGACCCTTCATTCTCCGGCACTCACAACTTTGTGGCTAAACATAGCTTCCCTAGATGCCTCTCCGCCTGACCCTGGGGCTGAGTGGAGAAGAGAAAGCGCTGTCATCGAATCCATGCAGTCATTTCCCAAACCCTTATCTGGCTATTAGTATGTGCTCCTTACTCAGCCACTGTGAAGACACAAGGACTGACAGACATCCCTGCCCTCAGGTGGAGAAACAAATAGTAAACAAGTGAACTGATACATGTTAGCCGACCTTCCGGTGGCAGTGGAGGGGAAAATATTCAATAAGATGGATAGTTTGATAAAGGAACAAGTGATTAAAATAAACCTTTTTTTTTTTCATTATCATGTTCAGAGGTTATTATCAACTGAAGATAGAGAGTGAATTTTCAGGTACTCATTGTATCAGTGTTTCTCAACCAGGTGATGTCAAGAGACATTTTTAATTGATGCAAAGAGGGCAGCGGGGCTGATACTAGGATCTAGTGGGTAGCAGTTAGGGATGCTCCTAAACACCTTACAATGACAAGAGCCCCACAAGGAAGTTTTTTATTACCCACCCCCAAATGCCCAGAGTGCCAAGTTTGAGAAACCTCACTTTATAACTATCACAAACACGCATATTTGCTTTTTCTGGCTTGCAGACCTCAGGGATAAAGCCATGTCATAAAAATATAACGCAAAATTGAAGACATATAACTGTAAAAGTTTTCCTTGTTAGCAAATAGAGAGATCCAAACCCAACCCTCCACCACCGTAGTCCATTCTGACTCCCAGAGCCCTGTCACACGGAGTGAGAGCACCCTGCAGACTTCCCAGACTGCAAATCTTTACAGGAGCGAGAAGCTGCACCTTTTCCCCACAGAGTGGCTGGTGGGTCCACACGGCTGTTGATGGCCCAACAGGTCATGCGGTCCTCCTCCAAGGTCCACAAGCACCGGCTCCTCCACGGGAGAAAGAGGAGGCTTTTTCTGCTCCCATAAAGATGGACACTCTGAGACCCACAGGGGCACTTCCACACTGGCCTATGGGGCCCCCGTGAGTCGGAATCTGTTTGGGACGCACGTGCAGGCAACAACCACCACCACCACAGTTCTTTTACATGTAAAACAGCCAGGTCAAGAACGAGAATCGGCCGGAACATTGACAAAATGGACAATGATCTAGCCTCCTGGCAATTAGGCAAGCAGCTGCTATTGCACTCCCCGACCCTGCTGTCCCTGATCGGTCTCTGACTCATGACGCCTTGTCCGGGTGACAGCTCCCGGAACGTGGGACACTCCCAGAGAGAAAGGACCCTGGGTCTCCCTCTGGACCGTGAGGCCCAGAGAGGCAGAGAACCTGGACCCTAGCTAGCCCGCTGAACTCCCCGCGCCCCCACCACTCTAACCACTGGCTCCTCCTCCTCCTCGTCTCTTGGGTCTGGGTTTGAGAGACTCAGTAACAAACAACCTCCCGGGCCCCATCTTTTTCCTTGAGACCACGGGGCTGGGGCCTCGTTGGTGTTTAGCCAGCTTGTCCCGTGAGAATGTATCAGGGCTTCAGAGGAGGCTGGTGTTCAGTAAATTTCCACCACACACCTGACTGCCCCACACCCCGGGGTGTCAGCTGTGACCTCGAGCGCAGCGTTCAGGGAGGGCCGGGGCCCTGTGCTCAGCTCGCCGGGCGCTAATATGGAGCCCGGCTCCTGTCCAAGGCCACGGGTTCTCTCATTCCTCTCATTCTTGCCTACTTGCCCTGAAAACCTGTGCTCCCAGAACTGCTCAGGGGGAAGGTGGGGGACCGCCCCCCAGAGGGTGTAGGGGGGCAGGAGGCATTTGTGGCGGAGATGTCCACCACGGTCCCCACACCTAGGCTGAGTGCTCTGGCCTGGGGCATGGTGTTATCACTGTTCCTGGACATGAGACTGGGCCCCGCCCTACCTTTCCAGGCAGCATTGGGTTCTTAGAAGGCCCTTCGTTTGGAGACTCGGGTGGGCAAGGCTGGAGAGCTTCCTGACACTCCTGGGATGCTTGCTCCAGGAAGACATCAGATCAACTCCTGAATCAAATCAGGCTGCTGAAAGTCTACACTTAGACCCAAGGGGAGCGATCAAATGAGCTCCCAACCTCAGCGGCAGATTCTCTACAAACCCCAAACTAAACCACTCACAGAGACCCTGTAGGACAGGGTCGAGCTGCCGCTGTGGGCTGCTGAGACGAGGACTCCCCCGGGAGTAGAGAGCCTGGTCTTTCTCTTCTGCCTCAGTTAGTGGTTTCGAACTGCGGACCTCTGCTCATGGTGAGCCCGGGCGCATCCGAGCAGAACTGTGCGGCACAGGGGCCGAGTAGTCATTTTGGAGTGGTTGACTAACCCTCTCTCCCCAGGAGCTCCTCGGTGGATTCAAACTGACCACCTATGGCCAGGAGCTTAACTGCCTGCACCGCCCAGCCACTCCACACCGAATCTGCCACCATCCCCACTGCAGTCCAGTTGATTCGGGCTCACAGCGACCCTGTTGAGGGTTTCCCGGGCTTTGTGAATCGTGACGGGAGCAGACAGGCTCATCCTGGTACCTTGCATCAGCTAGCGAGCTTGAATCTCTGATCTGTCAGTTCGACGCCCAGTGCCACAGACCCAAGCAAAGCCACACTCACTGCCCTGGAGTCGATGACGCCTCATAGAGACCCTGTCAGACAGGGTAGAACTGCCCCAGTGGGGTTCTGAGATCGTAACTCTTTGTGGGAGTAGAACACCTTATCTTTCTCCTGTGGAGTAGCTGGTGGTTTAGAACTGCATACCTTGTGGTTAGCAGCCCATCACGTCAACCACTATACTTCCAAGGCTCCCTCCTCCCACCAACCCAGCAGTCCCCAAACTGTGTTCCACTTTAGAATCACCAGATGCCTGGCACCTACTGCTGACCCCCAGAATGTCAGCATTTGTTTTAGGATCCCCAAGTGATCCCGATGTGCAGCAAAGTTTGGGAGCCACTGAACTAATCACAAGCACTACATAGCTAGTAAGGTGCCCCCAACCACACAGGACCCTGTCCTCACAGTCTTCAAGCTGGAAGGACCCTCGGCCAGGCTCGCTGCCTCACGGGACATTAATGCCAAGCATGAGAAGTGACATGCCTGGATTAAACAAACAAGCTGGGCCGCTGGACTCCCTTCCAGAGCATGCCATCCCACCCCCCAGTACCCCACTTTTTCTGCCCTGAAATGGCAGCCAAAATCTGGACAGGTCCACAAAGACAGGCCATGTAACATCACTGCCCACGAAAACACCATCGAGTGGTGGCAGCCCCAGGGGTGGGCCACAGTAGGGCTGTGCTCCACGGGGCTCTCCGTGGCCGATTCTGTGGCAGTCGCTCACCAGGCCTTTCTCTAGGCACCTCCAGGTGGACTCCAACCCCCACTCGAGGTCAGTCAGCAGCTGCGAGCCCTGACCGTTCCACCAATGAGTCTCACGGCCAAATGAATTCTCTCAAACTCCAACACCACCAAGCCTCCCTCAGCCTCTGAGACAGGAGCTTCCTGTTTCCCCAATGCCAAGGGACCCTCAAGAGGGGGGGATGCCAGCTCCATGGCCTGAGGGCCCACTGATCCCAGGGTGGCACTGAACATGCAGTAGGCACCAAGGAGGACTTGTCCACGGTGTCTTGATGGAGAGACAGGGTTGGAGAGAGCCTCGCCTTGGGGTCAGATCAAGGTCAGAGACTCTAGGCAGGGCTTGGCCACCAACAAACTCTGCAACCTGTGACCAACCCACCCATCAAAATGGCCTCCGATAGTTCCATCAGCATTGCCCTGACTGCCCCCAACAGCCCTGGGGTATGGCTAACGCAGAAGGTCTAGAGAAACCTCTCGGTGCCTGATCTTGGTCCCCTCCACTCTCTGGTGCCCTCGAGGCTTTCCCCCTCCCAGCAGAAGCCCAGTTTCCTCAGGAACACCCGCACCCAACACTGTGTCAGGGCTCAGCTCGCCTTGCCCGGGAGACGCTCAGATGCCTGCCAGGTGGTGGAGTGAGGCGCTCTGTGTTCCCGCGCTTGCCCTCCCCGATTCTTGCACGCTCCAGAGGGTACCATCAACCTTCCTTCCGTTCCACCCCATCACCACCACCCCCAGCAGGGACCCAGCCTCTGCTCTCTCACCGTGCTCCACTGACCTGGGATGTGTTGACTCTACAGCTGCTACAGGCCATCCCAGTCGGAGTCGGCCAGGTGTACGGCTGTGACAATCCCTGGACAGGCGGCGTGTTCCTGGTGGCCCTGTTCATCTCCTCGCCCCTCATCTGCTTGCATGCAGCCATTGGCTCCATCATGGGGATGCTAGCAGGTAGGCCCCCACTCCGCTGGGATGCCTTTCCCTGCAGTGATGGCCCCAGGCCCACTGGAAGCGCCCTGGGGTTAAGGGTCTTCGGACACCAGCGTGGGGAAGGGCTCGTTTCTCTTTCTTGAGTCTGTGAAGGGAGCCAGTGACAGCAGCCAAACGTGACGAGATGTGAGGGCACCAAAGGCCTGGTCAGCCGGCAAAAGGGTCTTCCTAGGAGGAAGGTCACATGGTGGGCGTGGGGCGCAGTCCACACATCCAGCTGGGCTGGACGTGAGCCAGCAGATCAAACGTCTGAATGCTCGAAGGGGAACACACGGCGGCCCCCTGTGGATGGAGGCGAAGTGCACTCCGTTTTCAGCGCTGTCAGCTTTCGGAAACAGGCCACTAGGTCTCCGCTCCAAGATGCCTCTGGGTGGGTTTGAACTGCCCACCTTTCCGCTGGCAGTCCAGCACGTAACCACCCAACGGCTCACTTGTTGCAGTAGACTCAACAGTAACTTACAAAAAGGGAAATGTTTTCTCAAGAATTACACAGCCAATGACAAATGTAATCCACTAGCAATACGGTGCATGCCTGTGTGTGCACATATCTAAATAGGTGCGTGCAGGTTTACATATGTCTATAGGCCTCAGTGAGCCCTGATGGCATAGCTGGTGACCTGGTGGGCTGCTAACCGCATAGTCAGCAGTTCAAAACCATCAGCCGCTCTGTGGGAGAAAGACCAGGTTTTCTGCTCCCGCGAAGAGTGACAGTCTGGGACACCCACAGAGGCCGTTCCCCCCTGCCCTGTAAGGTTGCCAGGAGTCAGCATTGACTCGATGGCAGGGAGTTTATCGCAGTCCTGGTGGCACAGTGGTTAAAGCACTCACCTGCTGATGGAGAGGTCAGCCGTCTAAGCCCACCAGCCTCTCCTGGGGAGAAAGATGGAGCAGCCTGCTGCCTTTGAAACCCTGGGGCAGTTCTACCCCAGGGCAGGGGGCTGCTGGGACTCAGAATCAGCTTGACAGCAGCGGCTTTTCTGATAAGAATACAAATATCTATACTGTCAGGACAGTCAGAAATTGAGGGGAAAGATTGGGGAGCAGGCACTGTCTGTTGACTTAGTCAAGGTTTTTACACATTTTATGAAGATAGAACTTTTAATTTCTATTTTTCTAATTTGTAGACAATTTCAAACGTAAAAAAAATTGCATAAAGAGTACAAAAGCACCCATAAACTCTTTACCCAAATTCCCCCGATATCCACAGCTTGCCTCCTTTATGGTGGTACTGTCTGCATGAGGAGATACATAACTCTCAGAACCATTTTGAACTGACATCTCCCTTGTTCAAAATGCAGCTGGCTCGGGCCAAAGGCCTGGAGCCCCACCTCCTCCATTGCCCCTCGCCCCAGAAGCAATCATCCCTCTGGTGACCCCTATAGCTTTGGACAGCTCAAAAACCACTGTTCTCTTGACCACTGTTGGCTTCCAAAGACTGGGTGTCATGTGTGGAGGCTCCTTTGACTTGTAGGGTTGGGGTACAGAATGGATGACAGGAGTGGGGTCAGGCCTCAGACAACTGAGGCCTAGTGCCAGCCACACGGCGGCCTTGGTGCTCTGACCCAGAAGTGCCCAGAGCCACCATGCTTGCTGTCTCACAGCCCTAACAGTGGCCACACCCTTCGAGAAGATCTACCTGGGCCTTTGGAGCTACAACTGTGTCCTCTCCTGCATCGCCATCGGAGGCATGTTCTACGCCCTCACCTGGCAGACCCACCTGCTGGCCCTCATCTGTGGTGAGTATTCAACAAGGCTGGCTGACAAGCCACTCTGCCTTCTCTCTTCCTTCTTGCTTATGTGACCCCCATGGTGACCACTGAGAAATAAGACCACAGTGGTAGAAAAACCAGCCGGCTGGACCTCACCACCCGTGCTGCCTTTCACAAGGAATGACCATTTTTCTGTTAAATGAAGATGCCCTGATGGTACTGGAGAACCAACACTGGGCTGCTAACTGAAGGGTCCCTGGTTCAAACCCACTAGCTGCTCCATGGGAGAAAGATGGGGCTGTCTGCTTCTGTCACGATTCAGTCTCAGTAACCCCGTGCAACAGTTCTAGGCTGCACTATGGGGTCGCCATGCATTGGCATCAGCCCAGTGGTAGTGAGTTTGGTGTGGTGCATTTGTTTCTAGCAAATGAGGCGGGCATTGTCACAACAAGCACATTTGCCTGGTGTTTCAAGGGTTGCAAGGCAACCCCTGTGCATTTTCTCATGCGCTCGGAACAGCATCCCTGCTCTCTCAAGCTCTTCCTGCAACTACTCTTTGTAGAGGCTCGTTAAGTGACAGGCCCTAGACTAAGCCTGGATTAGATAGATTGACAGGGGGCTGCAACAATGGGCTCCAACCTAAGAACAATTGTGAGGAGGGGGCAGGACCGGGTGGTGTTTCATTCTGCTGTGTATCGGGTCCCTGTGAAGCAGAACCGACTCCAGAGCTCCTAAAGCAGTGGTTCTCAACCTGTGGGTCGCGACCCCTTTGTGGATTGAACGACCCTTTCACAGGGGTTGTCCGTGATTTATCACAGTAGCAAAATGGCAGTGATGAAGTAGCAAGGAAAGTAATTTTATGGTTGGGGGGGTCACCACCACATGAGACACTGCATGAAAGGGTCACAGCATGAGGAAGGTTGAGAACCACTGGCCTAGAGCCAAGACAACGCGGAGATACGATGATAACTAAGATACCTAGGGAACTTTGACAGAAGACAAGTCATTCCACAGGTAATCATTCAGCTGGATCTCGACACAGAGCGTTGGATGTGGTGGGGGAGAGGGTGGGGCCTCTGCTCTCGCTCTGGGCAGGTCGCTGGAAGGCAGGGGTGGACGGGCGTGGGAAAGCGAACTCTGATGGCCCTTCTTCCTCACAGCCCTGTTCTGCGCATACATGGGAGCGGCCCTGGCCAACATAATGTCAGTGGTAAGTGTGGACTCTCCTGAACCCTACCCTCCAGTGTCTTCCCCACAGCCAGGACCTCAGGACACTCATAGAACCTGGCTGGTGTCCATAAAACATTCCCATCAAGGTTTATCTAGAATTTGTTCAGTTGGGTGTGTGTGTGTGTGTGTGTAACAGATGGTGGTGTAACCAGCAATGAGTGTAGAAGACCATCCCTAGGCTAATTTTCAGCTCCATCACTCACAGATGGTAATGGTCCTCAAAGGCACCACTGTCTCAAAAGTCCACGACCAACCATTCTGATAGTATGAATCCAGAAACACAAAGACCTGCACTAGGGGAAGGTCCTCATCCTCAACCCCTTCCATACCCTTCTCCTCAGGGTCCCTGGCTCAGACCCCAATGCTTTTATCTTCAGGTTGGTCTACCACCAGGCACTTGGGCCTTCTGCCTGTCCACCCTCACCTTCCTGCTGCTGACGACCAACAACCCTGCCATCTACAAGCTCCCCCTCAGCAAAGTCACCTACCCGGAGGCCAACCGCGTCTACTTCCTCACAGTGAAGCGCAGCCAAGAGGAGAAGTCCCCCAGCGGTGACTAGCTGAGGCCCAGGCAGTGTCCTTTGCCTAGGGCTGGTGCCTGCACCCCGTGTCTGCCCGTGGTCCCCACCTAATCAATCAACTGCAACACTGCTTTGTCATGCTTGAGGCTGTGTGGTCCCCAATAGACATATGACTCTCGTTCCCTGAAGCTGATTCTCTCTCTCTCTCTCCTAAATCTCCCTAACTCTCCTTTGTAGCGGACATTGATAATGCACTTGCTTGAGTTATAAGGAGTGTGTATTCAATGTCATTGACTTAAAACATAAATCGTATTTAGTCTTTTGGGAAGGTGATTAACTGACGATTTTCTTGGCTTGTTTAACCAAATCCTAAATGCTTCCAGGCAGGAAGTTCATGGAAGCTCGGAGTTGGGAGGATGTGTGAAAGGCATGTGGTCCCACCAGCACAGGGCGCATAATAATGAAGGAAAGGGGGTGTCAGTTCCTTGCCAGGCTTTCAGAAGGGAAGCCCTTCGAAGAAGACAGTTTACCCCCCATGCATTCTAACCCCAAAATAACCAGAACCCCATTGATTCAGAATGACCAGCTTACCTTAGAAAAGCCCTTCCCCTGTCCAGGAAGTCCTGAGGCTCCCAACACATAGCTTTGGGTCCAATTGGAATGGTCTGTCAGCCATGCTTTGTATCGGATTTCCAGGAATGTGAAACTATTTGAATATGGAGAAGACTGTTCATTGACTTGGACAGCATTGTCTATTCTCTTCCCACCCATGTCATGCTTGGTCATTTACAAGGTACCACTGGCCACAAGTATCTGGGCTTATTTTCCCCCAGGTTTCCATGTTAGCCCGATGGGAATTCAAATGTCACTACATCAAAGCAGCCAAGGTCACTTGATGACAAAATGGAGAAAGGGTAAGCTATTGAGCAATAGGAAAACTTATAGCCAATAGGGCTAGGGAAAAAAACCAAGGTCCCAGAAATTCTTTATTCTGTACTATGCTCAACATATTCCTGAAGAAGATAGAAACCTAAATGACCTCTTACTTTGTCAGAAGAACCCCCAAACCAAACCCACTGCCATCAACTCAATTTCAACTCATAATGACCCGTATAGTCAGTTTCCCAAACTATAAATGGGTATCAGAGCAGACAGCTTCATCTTTCTCCTGAGGAGTAGCTGATGGTTTTGAACCACTGATCTTGTGGTTAGCATCGCAGCCCATAACTCACTACACTACCAGACCTCCTTTTTGTAACCCGAAAGAACTGCTGACGTGAAGCGTTGATGAAAGCCACTAGTGTAGCTTGCTAAGAAATCATATATGAGCAATGAAATGCTTTAAAGTCATTTGTATGGACTAAGGCAGAATATTGATGGAATTTCCCAAATATTGTTAGAAGAGGCCCTCCCGGAGGCTGGGATAAAGCTTCATAAGTTCTAGCTGGTGGACAGAGACTCACCATTCCCATGGGCATGCACAAGGAAGAGGCAGAAGTGAAGAATCCCCTCCACACTAAGAAAAGTAGGCACAATGCAGGTGATCCTGCCCAGAGCAGAAGGCAGGTGCCCAGATGACCTTAGAAGTACCCCCAAAATACTTGTGAGCCAGCTCCCTGGAGTGTTCACTTCCTACGCTTTCCGGGACTTTCCATCTCACTGGCCCACTGAGAGCGTAGGTACAGCAGCCCTGGGTGTACTGGTTGACACCAACAAGGTGAGGTTGCAGTACTCAGGAAACGTCGATCTTTCAGATACCAGTTCTCACTGTTTCCTACCTGTTCTCATGAGGTCCATCAAGTTCATGGCCAACTGTACAACAGAACACAACGCGACTCGGTCCTCACACTCTTTGCCATGTTTGAGCCCATTGGGTCAACCCATCTCTTTGAGGGCCCTCCTCTCGTTGCCCTCCAACCTTCTACTTTATCAAGCATGATGTTTTTCTCCAGGAACCGATGCCGCCAACATGTCCGAAGTACATTAGATGAAGGCTCCCAAAGAGCACTCTGATTGTACTTCTTCTCCGACAGATTTGCTCATTGTTTGACAGTCCCTGGTATAGTCAATAGTCTCCAAGGACGCCATACTTCAAAGACATTCAGTCTTCTTTATTCAGCATCCAGCTTTCTGGTGCAGAGACAGCAATTGGAAGCACCTGGCTTAGGTCAGATGCACCTTATTCCTCAACGGTTTTTCTTTGAGCCCCAAATTACTGACAGCTCTTGGTGTTACCAGTGGTAGTGCTCATGTTGAACATACATTTGGAGTCACTCAAGAGAGCAAAAACAGACAGGGAGACTTGAGTGAAGGCCATCACACCCCTTCCTACTAGCCCAGCCTTCTCATCTCCTCTTATTTTGACCTCATCATGTCTCACTCCGTTTTTATCTCCACTCCTCCCATACTGATGAGTTCAGCCCTGAACCATACCAGCAGGGATGACATGGCATTATCTTACTGCATTTTAAGTAGCAACTCTGTCGTCATCCCTCGGATCACTTCTGTGGTAGACAGAGTCAAGGTTTCCGCTTCTCCCGGGGTCAACTTTGAGAAGTTAGGTTTGCTAGGAAAGAGCCCACTTTCTTTCATTTAGATTTTTGCCATGTTGTTGTTGTTGGGTGCCATCAGGTTGGTTCCAACGCACAGCGACCCCTGCACGAGACAGAGGGAAACCCTGTTCGGTCCTGTGCCATCCTCACAATTGTCCGTGTGTTTAGCCATGGTGTCACTGCACCCTGTCGACGGTCTTCCTCGTACAAGCTGCCCCTCTGCTGCACAAGCATGAGGTCCTCAAAATGGTCTAAGATAATCACTTTCATCTTCCCTCTTATCTGGGTTGGTCCCCTTTCTCTTTGCGTATCTTGTATGGTTTTGGTCTCTTCTTTAATTGAGTTTGTCATGATGGGTGCACACATTGTACGGGCTTTTTCAAAGGAGCTGTTGGAGACTTACTCGTCCTCCTGCTTGCTTTGATATTTCTCTTACTGATTTTTGCCTTCCTGTAATCTTGTGACTTGTCTAACTTTCCTTTCTTTTTCTAATTTCTAGTGTTTTAAAATGTTAAGTAGGTTCTTTCATTTTAAATTCTTCTTTAATAGTAATAGCCCTTAAGACTATTAAGTTTTTCTGGAGCATAATTGTAGTTATGTACTATAGGTTTTGAAGTAAAATATCCTACTTTCATTGATTTTAAGTAATTTGACATTTTAGTTTTGATTTGATCTTTGAGCAATTGGTCAATGAAGAATATGTTTGATTTCTAGCACTTAAGAATACTTGGGAATTTTAAAACTTTTTGTAATCAATTTTCAGAAGCCCTGGGGGCCAATCGGTTAAGTATTGAGCTGCTCCCTGGAAGGTCGGCGGGTTAAGTGGACCAACTGCTGCGTGTGGGAAAAAGGCTAACTGCTGCTGGAAAGATGTACAGTCTCAGAAACCTTAGGGAGCGGATCTAGTCTGCCCTACGGGGTCATGATGAGCTGAATTCGCCTCAGTGGCAATGAGGTTTTGGGGAAGGGGAGAGCAGATCTAGTTTTGGGATATGAATGGAGGATATGAGCTATAATATCTCTACTTTAAAGTTTTAATAGGTATTTCTTTGTAACAATGTACCTGATTTTCAGACACCATAAAAATGCCAATTTTTTTAATTTGAAGGAAATATATATGGAATTGAGTTGTTGTTTGAATCATTCCATTTCTTTATGTCTTTGGTTTTTGTTGTTGTTTATGAATTCTTAACTCTGAAAAGGCTTATTTGAAATCACACTACAAATAACTGGTTATTAAATTCTTTCTAAATGGTTGCCTCATATACTTAGCTGCCACCTTGTTTATACCTATTTATTTACTACTGTGATTGGTTCTTTGTAAAGTATGCCTTTTACCATTACAAAACAACACTGTATCCTAGTCTTTTTAACTTCCATTCCACCTTATCCAACATTCGTGTGGTCCTATCTGCCTTTTGTTGAGTATTTTCTTATCCCTTTGTTTTTTTAAGCTTACCATTTTTTAACTATCCTTCTTGGAAAATAGCAGAAAGGTGTGTTTTAACTGTTAACCTAATCTTAGAGTTTCTATTAGTTAATAAGGTAGATTGCCCTGTTTGTATTTAGTGTAGTCATCAATATGATTTTTTTTTCTGGCTTACTTGTTTTTTTCCATTTATTTTACGTAGTTGCTTTGGCTTTTTAACTTGACTTATTTTGTAGGTTTGATATGATAGTACCATTTTCTTTCTATCTTTTGGTTAATTTTACAGTTCTACTATTTCCACCCCCTACTGGTTACTGTCCCTTTCCCAATAATCATGATCAAAAATACACTTCTCTGTGATCCTACCGAAATACGCATTTCCCCAGTGCTCTTTCTTACTTTGGAAAATGCAGCCCTCTTAATGCTTTCACTGTGACCCTCCCAGAGCTCGAGACCTTAAAACCCTTACCTCTCTCCACCCTCCTCTCGTTCCTAGGTTTCATTATTTTAAATTATCTATCCCTGTACAAATATACCTCACCGCTTCTCAAGAACCTTTATTTAGCCTCTGGATTAATATTCTCCCACATGTGTTTGGTTGTTGCTTCCCCTCCTTCTCTCTTTTTCTTCATCTGGAACCTCGATCATTCCTATGTTAGATCTCCTTGATCTCTGCTCCAAGTTGCTCATATTTTTCTTCAGCATTTTTACCACTTGCATATGTGTTCTGCTTTGATATATTTCCTCCACTTGAGCTCCCACGCCACCAATCCGGGTCCCGACAGAAACCATTCTGTTCTTTACTTTATCTGTTGGATTGGTTAGCTCAAAAACCATGAGCTTCATTTCAGAGCAACTTTGGATTAAAGGCTGACGTTGCATCTTCATGTGTCTTTTTATTTTCCTTCCGCTAACTCGTGACCCCCAACGTTTTCCCGTGTCCCTTATTTCCTCCAGATAGGTTCCTGGGTTGGTTTCCCAGGGTCCCTTGCCAACTCTCCTGAGCCAGTTCCCCGAGACACTGGGCTTAACTTCCCTCTGACTTGACCGCATCCACCCACTCATCCAGAAGACGGAGCACAGAGAACTATTACTGTGTTACTCAGTCTCGGGGCTTAACCACAAACCAGGAAAGCTCAAGTCTAGTCCTTGCCTTCAAGGAATTCATTTCATGGATGTTTATTTGATTGGCCAGGTGGCTAGGCTTACCTGAAGGGAAGATGGGAATGGAATCACAAGCCCACGCAACTTCGTGACGCTGGATTCATTGAGTGAGGTATCTGGCTTGGCCTCCTATTCAGAAAAAGTATCAAACATGATTTTAAGACGCTTGGAAGACTTCTCTCCCTCTTGTTCCCTATCTTGCTGCCCAAACACTCCTCATCTTGGCTTTAAGTCTGTTAAAATGTGAACAATCCTGGGATTGTTAACACAGTAAGCATGATCGATCATTTGTAGCTTAGGTGCAAGAAATCATTTCTGAGACTAGGTTTGACGCAAGAGGAGGGGAGGAGACCAATGAAAAATGTGTAGCTCGTTTTCAGAAGGTCTTTTCCAAGGAAAGGCGGGTTGAGATAAGGACAAAAGTCTAGCACAAAAGGTTGGATGAAAGTCTAGAGCCCTCTTGCCTCGCAGGGCACAATGATGGATCAGATGCTATCTGTCTTGAAGACCAGAAGTCCTGGCTGGGACACAGCTGCCCACAGTGGGAGGCACGCCATGTGGAATAACAGACTTCAGGGCGTAAAGCAAGGTGCACGAAGTGAAAGTGATAAGCAGGCAGACTTTGAATCGGAGCAGGGAGGGTGTTGAACGCTGTACGTTACTGAGAAGGGAGTGCCTGGTGTGCTCCCTGCCCTGGCCAGAGGAAAGCACAGAGGCCCGTTGGGGATGCCTGCTTTCAGGGGGAAGTTGGGCCAGAAGACCTCTGAGGCCTCTGTCTTCCAACTCCAACTTCCGGTGACTCGGTGGCTTGGAGCGCCGCCGACAGAGTCGGGAAGAGAAGGTGTTACTAAGTTGGCAAAAACCAAAAAGCTTTCCAGGGGAGACCATGCTACGCAAAAAATAAATGGTTGCCGCCTTGAGAGTCTCTCCAAGAGCTTCCCGGTTGACCAAATTGCTTAACACGGTCTCTTCTGTGGACACGGCTGAGGAGTCATTGTCACGCCTCCCGTTCTTGACCTTCGCCTTCCTGTCGCTCTCCCCAGGTCAGTGCCCTACCAGACACCTAGTGAAACCCCAACGGTCCCCGCTGTATGGGTGGTTACATCAAGCCACCGGCGTGCATGACTCTTGCATGAAGTTGGGCTTTGTTCTCATTGTAACGGTTCTGTGGCCTGGAGACCACTATAAGATAAAGCCAGTCATCAGAACAAAAAATCTCACCATAGTGAATGATGGGGGGAGTGCGGAGTGGAGATCCAAAGCCCATCAATAGGCCACTGGAGATCCGCTTGCAGAGGGGTCTCGGGGAGGAGATGAGCCAGTCAGGGTGCGATGTAACAATGATGAGAAATACAACTTTCCTCT